GTGCTAAACCCTAAACCCTAAACCCTAAACCCTAAACCCTAAACCCTAAACCCTAAACCCTAAACCCTAAACCCTAAACCCTAAACCCTAAACCCTAAACCCTAAACCCTAAACCCTAAACCCTAAACCCTAAACCCTAAACCCTAAACCCTAAACCCTAAACCCTAAACCCTAAACCCTAAACCCTAAACCCTAAACCCTAAACCCTAAACCCTAAACCCTAAACCCTAAACCCTAAACCCTAAACCCCAAACCCTAAACCCTAAACCCTAAACCCTAAAACCCTAAACCCTAAACCCTAAACCCTAAACCCTAAACCCTAAACCCTAAACCCTAAACCCTAAACCCTAAACCCTAAACCCTAAACCCTAAACCCTAAACCCTAAACCCTAAACCCTAAACCCTAAACCCTAAACCCTAAACCCTAACCCTAAACCCTAAACCCTAAACCCTAAACCCTAAACCCTAAACCCTAAACCCCTAAACCCTAAACCCTAAACCCTAAACCCTAAACCCTAAACCCTAAACCCTAAACCCTAAACCCTAAAACCATAAACCCTAAACCCTAAACCATAAACCATAAACCCTAAACCCTAAACTCTAGAACCCTAAACCCTAAACCCTAAATCCTAAACCCCTAAACCCTAAAGCTGGTCAACCCTAAACCCTTAAACCCTAAACCCTAAACCCTAAACCCTAAACCCTAAACCCTAAACCCTAAACCCTAAACCCTAAACCCTAAACCCTAAACCCTAAACCCTAAACCCTAAACCCTAAACCCTAAACCCTAAACCCTAAACCCTAACCCCTAAACCCTAACCCCTAAACCCTAACCCCTAAACCCTAACCCCTAAACCCTAAACCCTAAACCCTTAACCCTTAACCCTTAACCCTTAACCCTAAACCCTAAACCCTAAACCCTAGACCCTGGGCATTTTATAGCAGAAAACATAGAATTGTGAAGCGTCTGTACAGAGTTATGCAAGAGGTCTGGTAGGCAGTCAGTATTACGTTAACCAGAAGCCATGGAAGTAGAGTTTGGAAATGGGGCGATTACTTTAGCGCCGTGGACAGAATTGGGATCGAGAATGGTATGTCACTTAAATGAAAAATTGTTTTTATAGTTCCAATGTTTCACAATTGAAATCTCAAGACGTTAGTCTGTTTTTCAGTTCAATATTTCAATCCGTTACTTGGTTTTCTGTTTGTAGCTTCTTTGTTGGTCTAATTGTTAATGAGGAAGTTGGAAATGGCACTAGTATGACTTTTGCATTAGCAGAAGTGGATATGCAACAGTAATTGGAGAATGCGACAACCATGTACTTCCTTATTTACCCATAGCATTGTTAAGCAGACCAGCAGACTTCCCTTTTGAAAGTGGGAGCCTCCAAGTATGAAGCTTCGTGAAAGTGATACGTGGAGCAAGCCAGTTGGCATGATACAAGTCAGACACTTTCTGAGACTTCCTGCCACCAATCTGGAGTGTTCATTTTAATTCAATTCAACCCCCCAGGTATCCTGGGGGGATTATACCCAATGTGTCAGGGAGGGCTTATTGGTAGTTTAGCAATGTTATTCCAAGCGAGTGCAGCACACAACCCATGAATCATTCTGCACCTGCGAACAGGGCTAGTATCATTTTGGGGGGTTCAGCCACCTGTGCATGCAGTTAATCATGTGCAATAGAAAAGTATGCCGAGCATGTTCAGCAACTAATTTCGATAATCAAATAATACATGTTGGCATGCAGACATCATGAGAATTTCCATTCAGTAGAGGCAGGTTTAATTTGTAATTATCAAAAGTTTTGGTGCAGCTGTTCCAATTCTTTATGCACCTTCAAGCCCTGTAATAGTGTATGTGCGGGTCTTAAAGCTCAGTAGAAAGTTGATAGATAGTGAACTGTCGCAGCTGGTGGTGCAGTACACTGTCGATGCCGACGCACTGTCGAGCGATCTCCACAGCCTGAAAGATGGGTCCCAGCCTGAAAGCGCTTGGCACTAAAACAAAGACGTGAACAACACGCCAATTCACATCGTGTCGCGTTTGCTGCGAGGTTCTAGCGCTCGCAGTCTCCTCATCATCCTCACCTCTTCCTCAGGTGCCCAGTTTAGGGCAGTGGTTGCAGTTGACGACTGAGGATTGATTCGGGATCCATTTGCACGCAGTCACCACCACAGATGGCTTTGGATCTTGCTCTCGATGTCCGGTGCGGGGTCCCACGATGTCCATCTGGGGTCTCTTTCTGCTCGTTTGAATCTGTGGAGCGGGTTCCGAGATCTAGCCGTCGGTTGTAGTGGTGGTGAGTTTTTGTAGAAGAATTTGTCATACGTAGGTGGATTTCGAAGGGGAGGTCTACGTCAGATATGTGCTGCTCATGAGGGCGGAGGCAGTGGCTGTTGCGGTAATCGTAAGCACAGTTGCCCTATCTTCTGAGATGTGTAGTTGTTCCATGTTGAGCAGGCTGACAGTGGGAGTGGGTGGTGTCTGCTGGATTTTGGAATATGTTATGTTATGGAGGTGGGGTTGTTTGTAGCGGTGAAAGCTTTACAGCCGGCTTCGTCTGAGGTGGTAGTCGGACCATGAGTGAGCTGTCAGAGTGGATGTGGATGTTGTGGGGTTTTGGGGGCCTGACGCTTGAGGGCAGAGAAAATGATCAATCATTTTTCTAATGCTTAGTCGGTATTCGGGACTTAAGGGGGGTTGGGGGGGAGGAGAGTTTGTTTAGGGTTGGATGGGATGGGCATTAGGTTGTGCATGGTCCACTGTGTGGGGAGGTCTGCTCGGTGGGTTGGACTATATAGGCCTCCTCGATGTAGCTCTTGTTAGACTGCGCAATACTACATGAGCTTTTTAGAAGCTTGTTTGTTTATGCTCGCAGCATGTCTTGGGAGTAGGTGGGTTAGTGCCGGAGCCATAGCTGGTATGTGGAGTTTATGAAGTAGGCTGGTGGTGTTGGCTGTGGCAGAAATGGAGGACGAGATACTTCTTCCGTAACTAGGTTCCATCTGTGCCTCGGAATGTGACTGCAGTGCAGCCTGCCCTTTACTCTTGAAGAAGCAGCAGCTGTGATTGTGCATGCAATCTGTTTCGATTAATTGGTTTTGTCTTCAGCGCAGTCCGCTGTCAATGGTATCTGGGAGTCTCTCTGTGGCTAATAGAATCATGCAGTCATTGAATGAAACAGACTCTGAAATGAATTGGAGTAATGTGCTGTCATGTTTGGTGCGGCGTGTATTATATTGGACGAGCAAGCAGTTTGTAGAAAACAGTAAAAAGTGCCAGACGTGCAACCGACTGCTAAGTGTGCAATGTATCATAACGTGAGTCTGCTATATTGTTATTTCAGGGAGTGGCGGGCATCCGACATGCACCCAGTATGTCGTGCGTGAAGTTTAAGCTGGCCTGTTTTAGTGTGTCCGCAAATTCAAAGGCGAAGACATATCAGCAGACGCGACTGCAGTGAGATCTGCCCTCTTCATCTTTCCAAGGCTCCTTGTCGACGCCGACGACTCTGAACTGAGAATCATCTAACTCATCTGGATGTCTCTCGTCGGCGCAGCAGGCGAAGTGCTCGAGAAAGGCACGGCGGCGGCAGATTGCAGCTATGTCCGTGTACGGCCCAGATGACGAGCCAGCCAGAATCATCGAGCACCATCTACACCTCTCTTGACCGAACGCGGAAGGAAATCAGGCTGCTGGAGATCGTTTCAGCGGACCCTGATGTCACGTTGAAGCTCCATGTGGCCTCACTCGTTGACGAACCGGTGTTCAGTGCGCTCTCCTATGTGTGGGGATATCCTCCTGTCTGGGTGGACATCAGGGCCGATGGAGCAGCTATCTCTGTGACGCAAAATTTTGTGGACGCTGTCAGAGACGTTCATCGTCTTTGGACATCAAAAGGCTTGGACAGACCATTGGAGTCGAGGAGGCTTTGGGCAGACGCTGTCTGCATCAACCAGGAAGATGTCACAGAGAAGAACTTCCAGGTGCCGCTGATGAAAGAGATCTACTCCGGAGCCGAGCAGGTTTTGTCTTGGCTGGGCAAGTCAGGCGAGCCCACCGATGGCGCCTTTGAGGCTCTGCAGCTGATCTACGATGAGCTGGCTCTCTTGCATGAGGACTCTTCAGATGACCTCAAATGGCTGGAAAGACATCCAGGGCTTTGTCACGGGTATGCAGGAGATCCGAGAGGCCCGTGGGAAAGCATACACAGTTTGATGCACGTCTCGTACTGGAGCCGGGTGTGGATATTTCAAGAAGTTTATCTGGCGAGATCCCTGCTCCTGATCAGCGGGTCAAAAGCCTTGGACTCCGAATCTCTCCGAATAGTACAGCAATGGCATGAGTCGGCCATCCTCGGCCGTAAATCTCCGCCTGAGCATGTCGGTGCTAGCACCTGGGCGTTCCTCCAAAACCGTCGCAGCTTGTTCGAGAGCATCTTAGCCATTGAGAAAGCCCGAGACATGATCAGTGATCTCAAACGACGTCAGTCTCGAATTCGTAGTATTCTCAAGAATGGTATGAGCGACGACGCCGTTGTGTTCTACAATCAGGTTGAGACACATGTACTTCTGTTGTGGTACATGGCTGGAGTACTCGAGTCCACTGATCCCAAGGACTACATCTACGCCCTTCTCGGCATCTCAGGCTTAAACATCGAGCTGGATTACAGCCCTAAGAAACCGGCCTCTGATGTCTATCTCAGTTTCTTGAGACTGTGGGAGCAATGCTGTACGATGCTGCGCCCATACTACCCTGCCGATGCCGAATCAGGCATCTTGGACCTTTGGTTTCTCATTTTCGCTGGTGTCGCGCCGGACAACAGTCCGAACCCTGTGCTAGAGTTACCCTCTTGGGCTCCCAACTTTCCTGCCATCGCAGCTACCAACGTAAATGGCGAGTCATACTCAATAGCCTCACTGAGCAAAGCTCCGGTAGGCGAGGACATGTTTGATAAAGTGGTCGAGCAGTGGAGGGTCGATGGGACGAGTCTCTACTGCCCATGCATTAAGATCGATAGGATTGCCCATACCGGGCCGGTCCTTGCTGTACTAGACTTGGACCTGATTTCTTGGACCCTTGAGAGTGTCTCACAGCGACAAAGGTATCCCGCAGGTTACCATTCAGCAATCGCGATGCATCAAGCGTTGATGGGTCAGCAATTGGACGAAGACCTTGGCAACGTGGTACTGCCTACACTCGAAGATGCCTTCGGAATGATTTGTCTGTTTCTCATCCTCTCTCGCCCATCCGGTCAAGGGCCGGCCGTCGAAGACAAGGCTTTTCTGAAAAGAATGGAGTCTCTGGCACAAAGCCTCCTGATCGAGCTTGGGAGGCAAGACCAGTTCTCCATTTTCTGTGAAGAACTGCAGAGGTGCATTGATGGCAATGATGCAAAAGTGTCCTCCTCCGTTGCGGATATACTCGATGGCCAGAGACTTGATGGAATTCAACTTCAGCTTGAATTGGTCTTGTCATTGTCTGTAGGCCATGGAATCGCTCAAACTAGAAGAGGCTACCTCGGCAAGTTCCCAGCATTTGTGTGTAAAGGTGACGTCGTCTGTCTTCTCAAGGGCTATGATGTCCCCGTGGTCCTTAGGGAGGTCGGTAGTCATCACAAATTTGTCGGTTCGGCCTTCATTGTCGAGCCACTGGGTGGTCGGTCCATGGAGCAGTTGGAGGCTCTAAGGGCAAGCGTTGATATCATTGAGATGCGTTGAGCGTGAGGTTGGTTCAGTAGGGACACGCGCTCCTTGCGATTGATGTTCTTCCTCCTTGCCCACGCCGTAGCGTCGGCATCTGCCTCACGAGTCGGCCGCAAGAGCTGAGAAAGCCTCTCTGCCATGTTGTTTCGCTTGTCGGGTCGTTGTGCCCACTCCTTAATCTTGGTTTTGCCATGGTTTACAGTTTCCTTGCTTGTGTAAATGCCATTTGCATGCTTCACCATTTAGTGATAGAGTGCTAAACAACAATGGACAAAAAACAATACCCCCATAAAATATTTGGTGTTTGCATGAATATCTTTATTTTATTTTTAAGGACTGCATTTCCTAAGCCTTTTAGAGAGTTTTTTTTCAAAAATTTACCAAGGTCATATTTTTTCCATTCTTCATCCAATTTTTTACAATACTTCTACATGCCTAGTGAAAAGCCAAATTTCTTGGAAAGTTGCCAAGAAAAACCCTCCATCAAATTCACAAGTTCATTTGGGTAGAATTCAACAAGTCTTCACCAAAGTTTAGGATGCTTTTTAAGTTTTATTTGCTATTTTCCTTTAATTTTCATATTGAATTGATTTTTCATGTGCTCACTCTATTTTTCTTCTTTGTGTTTTACTCCAACAATAAATTTTATTGATTTTTTCACAGCTTTGTTTCTAATGTGTTTTCAAACTACAACTGTTTTTTTTCCAATTCCATCGGCTAACAATGACCTTACCCGTTGGTTCTTCCTAGAAGCAAAAATTCCAATTCACTCAATCTACTTTCATATTTTGCTTCTCACTTTGTTGAAATCTTGCCACTATGGAGAGCACTTCTTGTTCCAATACACTCTCATGAATTTGACCTTTTAAACCCTAATTTACACAAAGCAAGGCGTGCTGCTAGTGACAAGCTCTATCACTCTAAATTACTCAAATTTTCCTAGCAGAGCATTTTGAGCATTTTGTTTGTTCCTCCACGTCCAAGCGACGACAAACAAGCAACAAACACTCAGTGCATGTGCTCAATCCGACCCTCTCACTCCCCTCTACACAACGACAGACAAGCAACAAACATTTAGTGCCCGATGCCCAATCTCACCCTGTACACCGGAAGGAAAGGGAAGAAAATTCGAATGATGCATGGTGGGAGAGAGAGGAAGTGAGACACCGAAGCAAGGAACTAGGACAGGGACTCGCAGTGGAACCGAGACTCGCACCCTCACAATGGAAGTGTGGATTGGATGCGACACCAGTTAGCGAACCTCGGAGTGGGTCCCAATTTCGACACAAGTCCTAGGCTTGGCATGAATTCCACTCCCAGCGCGAGTCTCAGTCCTACGAGTCCCGGTCCCGGTAAGAGTACGAGTCCTGCGAGTCCCTGTCTCGGCGTGGGTTTCGGTCCTGCGAGCCTCGATCCCGGCGCGAGTCTCCCTAGTCCCATGACTCTCAGTCCCGGCGTGAGTCCCAGTTCGGCACAAGTTTCTAAATTCTGAATTGAAATTTCTTGAATTCCTTCGAACTTCTTGAATTCTTTCTCTCCATAGACCAAGTTTGTATTTACTCTTTGTTTTTTTTGTTTTTTGATGCTAGACAAATTCTATTTTAAATAATTATAACACTGACGTGAAAAAGTATTGGAGTGAAATGCACCCAGTTGCATGTGTAGTGAAGATCCCCGAATGTGAAAGTATTGTGTTCAAACTCACAACCGTAACCAAGTAACGTATTGAAGGCAAGGCGAAGTTGTGATGTGAGGCAAGGTTGAGGCGAGGTGAGCCAGACTCCAAGCTTGTAAACCTGATTGCATTGGAGGTGAACCTGTGCTGGATCAAAATTTGGCTGCCCTGTGTTGATCTATTTTTCTTTCGAAGTGAAGTTGAGGCATTCTTGGGGCGATTTGAATCGATATTTTATTTTATTTTATTTATTTTGTTTTGTTTTGTTTTGTTTTGTTTGTTTTCTGAAGTGAGTAATTGTGCTCCTTCGTTGTGTTTGAGGTTGAAGTAGGAGCTTCAAGGAGAGGGACGTTACATCGCTTTGCATGTTTCTTATTAGGTCAACTCTTGTCTACTCCACCACCTGCATAACATGTAAAATGTTGTCCAAAACTCTACATGTTTCCATGTTTGTGTGGTGCATGGTTCCCAATTTAATTGTTTCATGGATTGTTGAAACCTGGTTTAGGATTGAATTTGTTTTGGGATGGAATTAGAAGATTTGACAACTTTTTGGCTCAATGAACATGGGGTTTGTTTTAAGCCTCCTCATGGTTCTTGTTTTTCATTCACTGCTGCAGTCCCTAAACCTGGTACATTGCATAAAGGAATCGGCCAACGTAATGACAGGGACGGAGCGGTGGGACGGAGCGTGCTGGTCCACAGGCCGTTGAGGTATTCAATTTCTTACAATTTGTTTTGCTCTAAACCTTAGTCGCAGCGGCATGTTTGGGAGATGCTCTGCACATTACATCGAGGTCTTGTAGGTATTAATGTAATAAGTTTTTGTACTCACGTTGGACTCGTTTGTGCAGGTTGCAGGTTGAAGTTCGAGTAAGTTCGAGCATCGGAGTAGTAAGGGCTGTAATCATGGTCCTCCTTGCAAGTGGCAGGTTTACAAGTGCGTCTCGAGCTTGTACCATTGTGATTTCACTCTTGGGATGTGATAACTAGTGTCACAATTACCTTTCTGCATTTCTTACTTTCATCATTCAAATGTGATTAGGGCTTGTCTCCTAAACCTCCATGGTTGACGCGGGTTCTTTCTCCAGCACTCTTGGTGGCAGCCATGGTGTTGGTCGCGTATATTACAAAGGTCGAAAAGGTGACTACTACGTCATGGTGAGTCACCTATTGAATTGTTATAGTCCAAGCAGACCTTTAGTTTTCATGTAGTCGTCTTCTTTTCAAACTTGTCTCATGATTTATTTATTTATTTATGTATGTATTTACTTATTTTAATCCGATTTCGACTTCGTTCACATGCTGTAGGTCATGGATATGCTCGTGCCAAGTCTTTGGGATGTCTGGAACTCTTCGGCTCAAGCGCAAGTATTTAGGGCAGCTCGTTCTGATTGAACAGGTATGCACATGGAGACGTGAAGCCCGAGAACTTTCTCCTGCGACAACCCAATACACCTGAAGAGAAGAAGCTTTTTCATGTACATCTCGGGCTTGGTGAGTTTTCAGTATTGTTGTGCTGCAATTCATTCTCTGTTCACACATTAGCAACCTCTTTTGCTCCAATTTGGCATTACATCTGTTTTTTTTTTTACATCTGTTAATTGTTACATGAAGAGCATCTGGACTGAGAATTGGATGAGTTTATTACCGCTACGTCCATGCACAAGTCAATTTCACACCAAGATTAACGTCTTTCTCCCATATATGCAGCTACTCGATGGAGGGATGGTACAACCGGTCAGCATGTAGAATATGACCAAAGGCCTGATGTGTTCCGGTGAGGCTCTTCTCCCCCCCCCCCCTCCCCCCCCTTCTCTTGATCTGTAGTTGCCATTCCTGTTTTGGCGGTTGGGAGCGACTGTTTTGCTTTTGAGCTATATTTTGATTCTGTGTAATTTTTGTACATGCAGTGGAACTGTTCGCTATGCGAGTGTGCATGCACATATGAGAAGGACTGGGAGTAGGAAGGACGACTTGGGATCACTGGCTTATACTTTGGTATTCATTATGTAGGATAGTCTTCCTTGGCAAGGTTATCAGGTACTGATCAACTTTGTAGCTAGTAGCTAATGAAGAAGTGATCAATGCGATATATATATATATATATATATATATATATATATATATACATATATATATTTATTTATTTTTCCTTCTTTCCTTCCTTCCTTCTCACTATTTTTTATTTGGACGTGCTCTATATATTTGGTTTTATAGGGCGACAACAAAGGTTTTCTGGTGTGGAAGAAGAAAATGGCAACTTCTCCCGAAATGCTGTGCTGTTTCTGCCCGGTTTCATTTTTAAACAGATGTTTTGGAGATGGTCGCAAATATGAAGTTCGATGAAGAGCCAAACCACGGCAAGCTCGTTCTACTCTTCGATTCCATCTTGGGTCCTAATCCTACTGTGAGACCCATAAACACAGACGGTGTTGAAAAGGTGCATTCTATGACCTTCTTTTACTTATTTTTTCCTGTCCCTACGCTGAGGATTCTTTTTTTGAACCTACTCTTCATTTGATCATCATATTAATAAAGCCTTTTGTTTCTAGTGTTCCATACAGGTTGATCAGAAGAGAAGGCAAATCAGATGTTGAAGAAGATGAGAATGACCAATCTAAGAAAAAGATCCAGTTAGGAATGCCCGCAACTCTATGGATTACAACGTTTACAACGCTCGGTGGCCAAAAGAAGTAGAGGTAAGGCGGTGCGAGCTTTCGTCATTGATGTGGTGTGATGTTGCTCAGTTAGGCATGAGCCCGATCATGTGTGTATCGTCAATTTTGACTTTGTCCTCCTGGATGTCGATCAGCTATTCCAATTTCTACGACATGCGTTTACTTTCAGCAAGCAGCCTGGATTCAGACAGACCCATTTATTGAACTTTCATTCCTATATTTGTTTCGACATGCAGGTATCACTACGATGCAGCTGATTCCCGGCTTACGGAGCACGTGGAAAAAGGTAATGAAGACGGTCTGTATATAAGCAGTGTGGCTTCTTGTACAAATCTATGGGCTCTTGTTATGGATACAAGGACAGGATTTACTGCTCAAGTTCATGAGCTGTCGCATGTATTCGCCGTCCTCGAATGCATGTGGATTTATTTAGAAATGTATTTTGTGCAAGATTTTGCCTGCGGTCTCTCGGAAGGTATTAGAAGTTTTTTTTTTTCTTTCTTTCTTACTTTTCTTTTTTTTGTGTTGATGTTGTTATTGTTGTTGTTGTTGGGATTTTTGTGTTGATGGAGAATGTGGACTTTTTGTTCATTTCTAGGTTTTCAAGTTTTGTATGACACATTTGTTTTATATATTTTGTTGCTTTGTTCAGGCTGTTGGTCCATTTTGTGTATTTGGCTTTGTTTGTATTTTTTTGTTTTGTGTTGTATAGAATGTGTCGGTTATTTGTGAAGGGTGCTGCTTCCCTTGGCTCACATGAAATGATGAAAGCTATTGCATTCTGAGGTATGCAGTAGCCAGTAATCTTGAATTGTGGCGTTGAGAATGAGTGGAGGCATGAAAGCAATTG